CTGGAGCAAACTGTCTAAGCTTGCGGAGGAATATCATCCTGATGTTGGTGCTGTGGAAAAGGGCATCAGTGTGTTTAATGACAATGTTATGAACTACTTTTGGAAGGTCCAGAAATCAAGGTTGAAGCAGCCAACCTTGGATTCCTTCTTTAAAAAAGTAGCAAAAGACCCTACAGACAAAGTGCCTGTAAGACAGTCACCAAAGAGGGCTAGGTAGGATGACTCCTCTCCTTCCACCTCTTCTCCATAATTCTCTCCTCCCGCTCCTCCTCTGCCTCCTGTCCTGCATGCTGAACAACACTAAGGTAAGATAAAGTACCGTATTTTTTACATTTTCCACAGAAAATTTTCAGTGTTAAGTGGTTGTATTTGGGGGCCTGGTACAGATTAATCCTATAACGAATGAGGTTCTAGAACCAATTAGATTCGTTATAGCATACCCCACTGTATATATATTCTGGATTTACGCGGTTTTTTACGCGTTTTGTCATTTACGCATTGCCTTGCCAGAATTGAAATGCTTGAATTACGCGGTAAATTTGGTCATTTACTCGGGTGAAGTATGATTTCTTTATTTACTGAAGATATTTGTTTTAGCTCATAAACTTCATACAAATTACCCGGCCAGAATGTAATTTACATTGCTGGAATTCTTATAAGATTGTGATTATTTTAAATATAAACATCATGGAATTTGCATTAGACATACCGGTACAAATTTTATATCGAATGTAACAATTTTCATGAGAAAGAGCCAAAATTTTATCTTTTGTGCAAAATATATGACATTTATATTCAAAATATTCCTGGTCTTGCAAGGAATCCAGCAATGTCAATTATATTATCTTAACTTTAGTCTGAGGTATTATTTATTACTAAACATGTAAGCCTAGTGTTATTTCCCAAACTTTCCTCAGAGAGGGAGGAGCCAGCAGCGTGGGAAGAGGGGGGGGGGGGGTCGGGAGTTGAGTCCATTATTTGAATGGATATTAACCTGTGGCTGTATTTCTCTTAAATATTAATTGTGTGTGCATACCATCATGAAATTAAGATGTTATTTTTACTACAACGTAGTAAGTTGAGTTTTGGGGTCGGCCCAGTCTCTTTTCAATTAATCCCATATGTTCTGTTATTTCATTTATGCGTTTCTCGTTTTATGTGGTACTCCGCGGGTTCAATTGACCGTGTAAATGATGGCCCAACTGTATATAAATACATATATGTACACAGTAGAAAATATTTCAAACAGGATGAAAATTGGACAATTAATGAGTGAAATGATAATTCTCGGCTTGCAAAAAAAAAAAAACTCGGAGGTAATTATTTCTGATACCAGAGGAAGTCAAAGGAAAACCAATTCCAAAGAGAACATTGATGGCTTATTGACCACAACCTACTCCAAGAGTCCAGGAACAGGTAGCCTATGACAAAGGATATCAACAAGTCGTAAAAAAAATGGAAAGAAGTTGACTATGATATTATGGAATATATAATTGATAATGCAGAGTAACAAACACCAATTAATTGGAAAATTTTATAGATACCAACATGGCAGACAATACTGTACCTCCCAGGATGGGGGTCTTAGTCTTGTAATCACTAATTTGGTTCAGAACTTGTCTATTATATAAATTATTGGGATTCATAGTAACTAATGAACAAATAGATTATATAGATTAACTACGCAAAGGTGAAAGCCATATACATGTCTTATGATAATCTATCTTAAATAAACCACAGCACTTTATTTACCAAACAGATTAATCAATTACAACACCATAAAGTATGTTGATCAACTCCACAACCTCGGATAAACAACAAAAATCAGCAGCCTACAGGTTCAAACTACATCAATCTGCTCATCAGCTTAAAAGGATCAAACCACAGCGGAACTATGCTAGACCCATTGGTGACAAAGTTACATAAAGCAAGATATAAATAATGTGTCAAAGATAATAGTGACCTAAATATGGATGATAGTGTTGTTCCTCTTCAGGCAGTGGCACCCACTGCTGTGTGGCATCCTGGGAAAAAGAGAAATAACAATACATAAGACATATGTAAGGCAACATAAAAAAAAGCAACATATAAAAAATTTAACAGTAAAAACATATAGCAACTCAATCAGTGTGATCCTTGTAACGTTCTGAGAAATGATTAACTCTTGTATGAGCAGTAATTAATACCCACAAAGCCAGCAATAAACACACCTTCAAAACACCAGAAGAAGAAGATAGCTTACAAGCACACAAAAGACATATACCTGGAATATGAGATCAGCAAATAGTTCAGCTCAATGAAACATCTAGAAGCCCAAATGGAAAATTTAAAAAAAAAAAATGAAGATTTGCAGTCGGTGAGGATTATGACATAGACCTTCCGAATAATGTAACAACAGACTAACAACAGAAAATGGAGTGCTGCAAGGGTTAGCCAAAATTTCCTACAATTTTTCTTTACTATATTACGCACAACTGCATCTTCATTGTACTGCACACATCATTGTCATTCCTAAAAACCCCATTTAATTCATATTACGCTACATAACATTCAAATCCACCGCTCTTGTAGAATCTCAGAGAACGGGTCATTGATAAAGACTAACTCACCTAATGAATGTCACGGAATTATTTGATGAATTGTACCCAGCTACGGGTTTATAATAGTAATTGTATGTACTCATAGCATTAAGGAGAACTCAAGGTACCTATAGGAGGGTTGTGAGAGTCCAATTGATCTGGGCTAGTGTACTATCCGGGCTAGTGTAGATCGTGGTTTGAAGGTCATACTATTTACATCTGTGAATGTTTAGTGAACATAACTTCCGCAGATATCAGATGAAAATACATGAGTGGGTAGCTGGTTAGCTATCCCTAAGAAGAGACGTGTTTTTCCCATGCAATGTTTACACTCAGGATCCCTCCCAGTAAGTCCCGCCTTCGAACACAGTTGTCAATATGCGTTTATTCCACTTTCTCCTAGCAAACTCAATCTTGAATTAGTTATGTAGATCAACTCAAGTATTCGCCAGACCTTTGTCAACTGAGGGTCATCTTTGAATGTGTAACAGTTGGTTTGTTTGTAATTTCTGTAATTGCGTGAGATAGCCACATCTGGCAACTCAGGGGTATATAACCCACAGGCTGGGAGGATCAACCCTCCCGTGACGCCCTCCAACTTTGTCCTGCAGGTATGTTCTGTGTTCCCTAGCCATTCAGTTTGATTCAGTCAATTGTAGTGAATATCAGTGTTCATGTTGTGAGAGTGTAATTGTTATTCACCCAATGTGAGAAGAAATAAAAAAGTGAATGTCGTCTGACGCTGCGAGACGAAGGATTTGTTGTGATTGTGTTGTCCATGCTTCTCTCCCGTGACGCCCTCCAACTTTGTCCTGCAGGTACAGTGGGGGCTTAATTGAAACCCACAGGTCGCTTGGAGCCGGTGGATATTCAGCAGTGATCAATATATGAGCGATGGCGCTGATTCGGCATGATTAATCGGCTCCATTCTACCTCGTGGAGCCAGACCCCAGACTCGCCATATGTCTAGCTACCACCGATCACAGCCACAGTCCTGAGCTCCAGTGTCCTACCCTGGGATGCTTCCAAGAAGTTATATGTCCACAGTGTTGTTGTATGTGTATGGGGCGTAATTCTGGAATAAGTATCCCATGTTGGGTAGTGGACCCATGTATGAGTTGGTTTCAGTAATAACATGTTGTGTTGTGAGTGCATCTCATATGCACTACCAACAGTTAGTGAAATATCATATGGAAGTTGTAATGTCTGTAATGAAATGTAATTTGCAGTTGAGTAAAGCCTAGGAGTTGCCTTGGAGTTATATGTTAATAATCTATTTTTCCCCACATTGAATCCATTTTAATAAACATTTTCTAGAGTATATCAGGGGTATTCATTTCCCGCAGTAACACCTTTATTTCTGTCCAAGGGACCTGATATCAGGATTGCAATACCCATGTGCCTAAACCCTCGACATGCTACCAAAAAGAACTGAGGTTAGGTAGTAACCAATGAACTGAAGTAAGTAGAAAGAACAATTGAAAGAACTAAGACATATTATGGTTTCACCCTTCTTTCCCTTTATCGATCTGGTCAATGAAAAACCTAACCCAATGCCTAGTCCACTCTGCCCGCTACCTAACGAGCTACATACTGCCCAGAGGGGGTCTGGTGGCAGCAACCCTTAGAAATTAAGAATAGAGTTACGTTATTCCCCTTAGAATTAGTGACCCCCAGATCTGGCAGTATATCATTACTGAAAGCAAAAAAAAAAATGATACGGTACACTCTAAACTTATTGTAATCACATATAACCTACTGTGGATTAAAAGGAAGGAATTGTTTCCGTTATTTTTCGCAAAATTAAGTGAACTAGCTCGCTAAATAGAGATTAATTAAGATAATATGCTCAAACAGGAGGAGGAACCGCAGAAAAATGAGACAGTAAAACTTACTTCGTCATACAGTGAATTTACTACATGATATGTATAAATAAGATAATTAATGATATAACAAACACAATTTAAGATTAACCAAACATTTTAGTAGGAAGTATTTTGAAAACAGTTACAAGTAACATAATGTACACTAAAAATATAAAATTGAAAGTATTTGTACATAGTGATGTTCTTGGAATCGAGTACAGGAAGATAATGGTTTACTTTTACTTAATTTTTTATGTAGTACTTGTACACAAATATGGCCTCTTGTAATTGAACCAAAGTCAGATATATACATACGAATGATGGACAAGATTCAAAATTAGATTAATTATTATGCAGTGCATAAAATAATAAAAAATTGGCAATACAGATTTTAAAAGATGAAGAGAATAATTATACTGCCAACTTGTTGCGACATGAACCCGACAAGGTGTACTTGAAGCCAACAAGGTGTAGTTTGCTTTCGTGCAGCCAATTGTATCACAGGTCAAGAGTCAACAAAAGGTTTAAATTGGACCAGTGTACAGTGCACAAACTGATGGCAGACTTGATGTCCCTCTACCAGTTCAACCTCTACACACTCATGATGCTACACACATTCTCCACGTGGGAAGCTGTGACAAAATTTGGATGTAAGCTAATTTGGATATTATGGTGTTTTGACGGTGAATTAATCATTATCAAATTAGTTAATTTTTTCACATTATTATTATTATTATTATTATTATTATTATTATTTTTACAGTAAGTTCTAGCTGTATGTCGGGGTTAGATTGATGAAAAAGAGACGTTATACTGCCATGATCGTAATGACGGCTAACCTGTTAAACTAATGATCCATATTACGCTTACACGTCCACAAAACCTTCTGAGTCTTCCAGTGGAAATGTCTGCCGTTCTCTCTGCTTCTTTGATGACGTCATCGAGTTGTCGTGAGTTTGTTGACCGAAGTTGTAAACTCTTTCTGCTACCGAGCCCCTGTAAACCTTTTTTTTCACCTATGATTAGTAGAGACTCTGATAATCAAAGTGAAATTGTGGTAGGGAGGTTAACTGAGGAATTAGTTAATATTCTGAAGGGAACCTTTTGAATCTGCTCCTCGCGTTTGTAGCAAGGCGCTGCATGTTGGGACCTGTTGCCATCCAACCTTTTGTAATCAATTTAATTCTTGCTTTTGATAGCTCAGTCAGATCATTGTTTGTGAAGATAACAGTGTACTGCGCACATCATTGTCATCCCTAAAAATCCCATCTAATTCATATTACGCTTCATAACATTCAAATGCACAGCGCTTGTAGAACCCCAGAAAACGGGAAACATTGAGAAAGGACAACTCACCTACTCAAGGTTCCTAGACCAGGTGTGGTATTGTACCCAGGTATAATTATATCATATCAAGTGTATGTATTCATAGCATTAAGGATCACTCAGGGTAGGCATAAGATGAATGTTAAAGTCCAGTTGAGCCGGACTAGGGTACTGTAAGACTAAGTGTGGAGCAGGGTTTGAAGGTCCTACTATTTACGTCTGTGAGCGTGTAGCGAACCTAACTCCAACAGATATCATATGAAAATACATGAGAACAATGATCTGGAAAAAGGATAAATGTATCAGGACTATGTGAGGTGTTGACAGTGATCTAGAAACTATACTGGAAAGGAAATATCGTGTATGCGTCGGTATGAATTTAATACACCTCGTAGCCTCACGTGACATATACCCACGACAGGTACAGTGATCAGAGAACCTTATGTCTGTGTTCAAATAGTGCACTGTGTGAGAGGAGGATCCCTCATTACAGTTTTTAAGTGAAGTTGATACACCCCCGCCATGATCATTCGGCTTTTGTTTCAAGGCGCGTCATGTACCCGCCTCAGATGCCCGTTGATATTAAAATCCCAGGCATTTAACCAAGCACTAGCAAACCAAGACCTGACCTTAGTGTGTAATTTAGGATTAATATATGTGTTTATAAGAAATGAGTGACAATATACCGTAAAGTGTTCAGGTGAGAACCATAAGAAACAAAAGTGTAAATTGAGGATTGGAAACGGTAGGCCTATGTGACGAGAAGCGGCGGGAAGCCGGCCTTAGTCTTTCCCGTTCTGCCGTCACCACAGGTCAGTGCCCTAGCGGGCTATATCCCGCCCTACAATTAAGGTTGATAAATAACAGTTACTACAGTTTAAAGCTTTGCCGGATATATAAGTGTGATAGGGATGTGTTAAGGGATGGGATAACCGCCCGTCAGGCATTATTGCTTAGTCTTTCCCGTTCTGCCGTCACCACAGGTGCCACGTGGTTGGGGTATCTTGCCGCCCGGCCGCCATTGTCTCCTGGAGCGCCACACCAGGTGGGGAATTACTCCCCACTATACCAGTCCACTATGAACCGGTGGATTCCCAGCGCACCACTCCACATGAATAGTCACAACTAAGGAGACCGTGAGAAACTGCGGTCGTCACTTGGAGCGACCTATAATACCAGGCGTAGAAATAGTGCTGGTATGTCTCTGAGGGCGGTGTGCGAACGAGGGGCCCGTTGTGTATACCTAAAAGTCACAAGGAGTCACATACTTGCAGGTATGGAGTGTAACAGGTGTGTTGCGATGGTGTTACTAGGTATGATAACCGACGGTGCTACAAGCCACACCAGTGGAGCAGTCTGATGTGTTAAGGGATATTGTAAGAAGGAACGACCGAGATACGGCGTTCACCGATTGTTGTGCAATAAGTGGGTGGATGACCCGCCAGTAATGTAGGAGTCTGGGGCCCAGTTGGGTAACCAAAATTCCGTTGTTCTTCTGAGGAAGGCCAATTCATGTATGTTTTTTTTACCAGTGTGTTTTATAAGAAATAAATCAATGAAGACATGTTATGGTTTCACCCTTCTTTACCCTTATCGATCTGATCAATGGAAAACCTAACCCAATGCCTAGTCCGCTCTGCCCGCTACCTAACGAGCTACATGCTGTCCAGAGGGGGTCTGGTGGCAGCGACCCTTAGACATTAAGATTAGAGTTAAGTTATCCCCTTAGATTTAGTGACCCCAGTCTGGCAGTATAACAGTAGGGAATGAAACTGAGTTCGTAGTCTCAGTTTCAAACGTCAGTGTTACAGTAACGTAATTCAGTGAAATGGTTGAGTAGGTGTAATCCGTGACTTTAGCGTGGGTGGAAGGCGGCGGGCAGCTCAACTGTCAGTGAGCCGCCACGCTTCCCACCCACAGGTAGGTCATTCCACCTTCTCCGTGTTGTCATTCGCCATTTTTAAGTGATTTGACCTAATTAATAGTTTGATTGCAAGTGTTACAGTAACGTAGTTAATGTGCTTTGAGTGAAGTATTTTACATCCTTAATGTATGTCCCTTTGAAACGTTGAGGTTCGTTATAAACCGTGAGTGAGCCGCCAAGCTTCCCACCCACAGGTCCCTATCGCAGTCTCGGCCGTGTCTGTAGCGTGGATGACGCATCCACTAGTCGGGGGAGATGTCTGAGGTCCAGTGGAGTCGGGTGTCCCCGTGAACCTCGACCGTCAGAGGCTCCACTACCACCTATGGGCCCCATAGCGGGCCTGTATTCCCCTAACGCCATGCCCACGTGGTGAACCCGGATCGTCAAGCCCCGCAAACAACTGCCAGCCCCATCATGGGTGGATGAGTACAGTACATAGCTCAATAGGGCTATTTGTGTGGTGGTGTTAGTCCACCGGAATTATCTGAGTTTGTTGTAAGGTGTCACTTGGTGATGAGACTCCCTTGGCGGCTGCTGGAGTATTGCCCCTGGGGTATTGAGTGTTGTACTGGCAGGTGCCACTGGTTTTATTGGTACTAAGGTGCTGTAAGAGTTTGTGTGTTTTGGTGTGTGTACACCCAGTAGTGGTGTAAGTAAATTGAGCCTGAGGGCATGGTGCCAGGAGTTCCTATTTTGGGTGCTTACAGAGTCTTTTCTGTAACCATTTTTGTGTTTCAATAAACATTGTATTTGTATGTGGGTCTATGATTCACCTATAGTATTCACCGTTGTTCTTTCCCTAATACTCGATACTATAATTACATGGACCCATGGGCCTTCCTCTCACGTCATGCTACCAGGGCAGAGTATTACGTAAGTTGTTGTAAGAGTGCCAAGCCCTTACAGGGGGGCAGCTTGTGGTGAGCTCTCTTACAAATGGTGGCCTCGGTGGCTCAGCAGTAAGTAGTAGCAGCCTCTGCTCTTATAATACGAAACAACGTTAAGCGGATACATTTTCCCCATAAGAATTAGATAATATACAGGAGTTACATTCTTGAGCAACCATTTGCCCATTGAAATACATTACACATACAGAAAATAAACCATCCTTGTGTGATGCATTACTATAGTCACATTCATTGAGATGAATAAGAGAAAAAATTATAACTCATCTACATGACAGAGAAATAAACAACATAAGGTAACCTAAGTTCGAGAGCGGGCTGGCGACAACTATCATAATACATCACCTACCCCTACGAAATTCCACTAGCATTGGAGGTTGTTTAGGCTTAAAGTTATTGTCTTATAAAAACGGCACAGACTACAGTTTACTGAATATACAAATTGCATTGCTGGAATGCTTGCAAGACAGCGAATACACCTTTTCACATATCCGTTGAGACATTGTTACATAACTATTTGACAAATTTCATAACCGAATGACAGAACACATATCGAATGACAAATCTAAAATAATTATTGGTGGTATGTCATTCTCCAATTGTTACATTCTCAAACTATATGTAGACTGTCGGTTTATTGTTCACGTCTGTCAACTTCATAACTTATGTCAATCACTAACGTTAGCATGAACGAACAGTTATTTTAGATTGTCATTCGATATGTGTTCTGTCATTCGGTTATGAAATTTGTCAAATAGTTATGTAACAATGTCTCAACGGATCTGTGAAAAGGTGTAATATGATATAGACATCATATACTTTGAACAAGAGGTAAAAATTTTAGTCCCTGAGCTACATTTAAGTTATGTACATGTTTCTCAACTGATTTTGCAGTACAAATAATAACTTTCATTTATTTTTACTCATTTACATGCACACACCATCATAAATACATATGGTGAAACAAGGGAAATTAAATATTTGTCCTAGGAGAGAGGGTCATGCGCTGTAAAAAGTAGTCATTGACAACTCAAACAAATTAGTAATGAGCCAACGGGATGTTAAAATTTTTTTGAGTCTTTTAATGTTTAGCAACATAGCACAGCAAATTAATTAAGAGGGCCAACGTTAAACGAGAACTTAATGTATTATATTTTCGTAATTATCATTACTTTTATTAAAGATCTACACTTTAGTCATTTATTTATTAGGTGAACGATGAAAAAAAAAAAACTACTGTTGCAAGCAGTGAACTTGGGTGTGCAGTTTAACAATGAAGTGCCACAGAGAAGTAACGCCTCCATAGAACGGGTGTTTTCACAGATGAACATCATTAAGAATAAGATAAGAAAAGGAATTAAACAGAAAAATTTGGAAAACACCCTACATGTCCATGCATTGATGCAAAGACAAAACATATGTTGCAATAGGTTTGCTCCTACACAGACAATGTTGTAAATGTTAACTCACAACATTTATTAAAAAGATCTTGATG